ACGGACGATGTGACAAAGAGTGCGCTGGTCCAAGATTCCTACCTGAGATCTGCAGGGACTGTGTCACCAGTCCTGAGTTCAACCATGTCACCGGGAACAATATCAATCGAAGCGATGGTGGTGGTGTTCCCATTCCGCGAGACATTGCCAGTTGGAGAACTCAAGGAACGCAGAGAGTCCATGGTTTTTTCGGCAGCGAATTCCTGGAAGAAACCGACAATGACATTTAGGATGATAACGGCAGCAACAACGCCGCCTTCAATCCAAGATTGAATACCAAAACTGACTACCATTGCCATGATAAGAACCTAAATTGAGAGCAACATACCACTGGATCAGACAAACACGTTCCATATGATAAACAGGGGGTTAAAAGAGAGTGTGTGAGTGGGCCGCTTAACTAGCATCATTGCGTTGGCCATCTGGCGAATGAGAATCTTCCCGACGGAGACTCCCTCGCCGCCTTCAAGCACATTGGGGCCATAAATCTGAAGCCGGCGCTTGGCTTCTTCAGCTGTAAGGCCATCTTCGGGATCGGTTCCTAACTCGCGTATAACGTCATCGTAGGGCAAACAATGGGCGGGAAGAGAGAGAAGGCTCTTCTCATCCCCTGCGGTTGAAGCTGCCTCAGCCCCACGGCGGGGCGGCTTCTCCATGACGATGTAGAAGCGGGTTATACAATAAGGAGGGCGTAGTAATAAAAGCAGTATTAATAGAAGTCGGAGGGATGGTTATTGTATCAACAGCACCAGCAGGTGTGGTGTTCCAGCGAATGTTAGGGAGCAATGTGGAGAGAAAAAATGGAAAAGATGGGAGAGCAAGATGGTCTCATTGAAGTATGTTGAATAAGAAAATGTTAGGAATGAAGCTGCTGCCCCTTCGCCTATTTTGGAGGGTAGAGATAGGAGAGCAGAGAAGATGTATAGAGAGAAATAGAGAGGTTTAAAACTATCCTCAGCCCCAATGAAGTATACCAGAGAGATAGGCAGCAAGTTGGCTGACTGACTCCCGTAGTCAAGCCGAGATTCCTTGTGAGGATGAGGATGAATCACCAGCTGAGTAGAGGAGGACAAAAGGAAGAAGAGAAAGTGAGAGGATCAGCAGGATGGGGTGAACCGGAGAGTCCCGACGGTACGGTTCCGTATAATTAAGATGTATATATATATATATAGAGTTATAGTTATATATTAGGTCTAAGAAGATCTTCTCGACCCTTCGCGTGTGCTGTTGAAACAAGAGGACAAATTTGGACCAGGAAGAGGGAAATCTTAGCCGGGCTTGGTACTTGTGGAATATATATATATATGTACCTGAGGGAAACAGTATTAGATATTCCTCAGCAAATTCAAATGGCCAAAGCAGCAGTTTCATGAGCCTTGAGGCGGGATAGAGTTTTGTGTCAACTTGGCTCTTCCAGGTAAAATTTCAATCGCCACAACAACCCACCCAACCCAGCCAATGGGGTGTCCTTACAGATGGGAACCAATCATCCCAGCGTGGCTGGCTTCTTTTGGGTTTCCTTTTGCTTGATTTGACTCCAAGATGACACCAGGCAAGCGGATAATGATCGAAGGTAGGGTGTTCATTGGTGCTAGAGGCAGTACACCACCAGGTGGCGAATCTACGCAAGATGTGGGTCATGTAGTTAGTCAATAACCCTAACCCTAATTACTTCCGTAGAGATAGTTCCTGAGTATGCTTCCTCCTTGTTGCAGTCAGTGTCAGAGACACTCCATGGCGTCTCAGAACGATGGTGATGATCATTCTTATTATTCATATTATTCTTTCTTATGCTCATGTGCCGTCAGTGGCTATGACAAGTTGACGAATGTGAAGTTGAGTAGTTACAGCTATGCATAAAGTTGATTATGCAAAAGATTCTGGTATTGGAACTTATTTAATAATAAAACTATATATGAAAAAACATCAATAACATTAGGAAATAAAAGTAATGCTGGTGAAGATTATAAATAGAATATTGATTTAATGCTCATTCTAATCCTTGAGAAGAAGGGAATGTTTACATCACTGACTACACCACCAGACAGCGAATGTATATATGATGTGTGTGTGTGTGTGTGTGTGTGTCATGTGGTAGAGCTAATAGGCCTCTTTCAGTTGCTCGGGCCGGGCTGATGCTGAGAACGGCGCTCCTCTCCACCCCACCATGGGGATTGATACTGTCTCCGCCGGGGGGGGGGGGGGGGGGGGGGGGATGCCCCTCGCCGCCGCCTATAGGCTATTGGTCCCCCCGTAGTGTGCCCACCGTCACACCGAAGGTCGTAATCCCTGAGGAGGAATCCTTGGCCTGGCCGTAGCTTCCAGGGGGTGTGGCTGGTGGCCAGAGAGGCCACCAACACCTTTGGGGATGGACGGACATATGTCTACGGGGGCAATGGGAAAGTATCTGGTTGTCTTGCAGCAGGGCTGCAGCCGAGTGTTGCCATTATTGCAGGTTTTGAACGGAACAACTTGGTAGATAATCGGTCCGCAACGGGCAATTCACTGTGGGCTCAAAGATAGTTAGCTAAATCATTCCATCCTCCAGGAACTAAAGAGAATGGAATTTCACAACGTCGTATTGTATCAATGCACATTTTAAAAGGCATTTTCTTGCCCCACACTTGGCGCTCACCCTTTGCTCCTTGCTGGAGGGAAAACATGTCAGGATACTCATCGTTAGGCCCTGCTGGTGGGCAGGTTGCGTGTGAGCCCGCGTTCTTCTTCGGGGAATACTAATTATCCAGGGTAGTTAGCTAAACTAGACACGGTTGAACACCCCGGTCCAAAGTTCTCATGTGCATATTAAAAGTCATTGGCGACTGCAACGTTCAACATTTGCATGCAACTTTCCCACGAATTCATGCGCAGTTCTTGCGTACGAGTAATTCGTACATGTCTACCACAGTTGTGTCACTCCTGCTAATGCTCCAAGATGATTCCATCCGCCCGTGACTATCTGTGGAGCATTTCAATAATATTAATACTAACATTGCGCCCCGCGCTACATACAACGTCATGTAATAAACGTTCGCTACTCCGGGTACCGTGGTTTGGCTCCGCTAATAACTTATCGTAATCAGGGAAGGCAATCGGTTTCTTCGGGATTCCACCTTGCATTGTTTGCTTCCGCCACCAATCCAACACCAACGGCAGCCACGCACGTCAAAGTAGACTGGCACGGAACATGGTTCAAGGATGAATCGGATATCCATCCCACACAAAGAGGTCACTGCCACCTACAAGTCACAATATGAACAAGAGAGCAAAAACCGGCCAGTAGGTGGTATCATGAAGATTCATAGCGCGATCCATGATACTCATCCCCGACCCCAAATTCCAATGGAACGAGAGAAGGAAAGAAGGTCAGGCGCAATGCCCCAGAGATTGCGCTGAGGAATGCGAAACAGACCCCCAGAAAATTCTTCAATTCAGGGCCTGAGCCAAGCCTTGCATTGGCGGACGCCAATCAGTTCTGGAACACCCCATAAATCTTGAAATGCCTTGGCTTGCATCCATCTGTAGAGCAGCTAGCAATGGCTAGTTTCTCACTATCCCAACTGGCAGCGAAGATGGTTGGCCCGCTGACACCCGAGTCTTCTGATGATTCTGATGGCAGAGGACGGAGACGGTAGGGAGCTGGTGGGAAGGGATGGGAGCAGAGGAGAGGGGAATTAAGAGCGGCAATGGCATTCAAAAATTTGGGCAAGGGTTGACTGCGGAGAGAAAAAGATGGAGAGAAGCAGGTAGCCAGCCTGATGGGAATGTTCAACTTTGAGGGTGGAGTGAGGATTGAAATTGGAGCGGCGATCTCAGTTCGAAATTCAACGGAAACTCCACTTTCCTATTGAAAACCTACGGTATATATGGGAGAGTGTCCCCATTGAATATCATGGGGATTTTTACGTGGTTTCAATTGCAAACCCTCTGGGCCGAATTTCAATATTGTGTTTTAAAACTGAAGTCTTAAACTCGTCGAAATAACCACAAAGGTTAAACCTAGAATTTACTATTTTTAGGGACCTTTATCTTTTTGAGCCTATTTTCTTCTTTTCCTCTCCTTGGCCTCTGCTTGCAGCCCAACCCTGCGAATCTCTAATCCTCAATTAATCCCCCACTCCCAAATAAGAGGCCCAAAATTCCTCCCGGAGCACCGATTTGAATTGCGACGGTAATGTCTGTCCTGGCGCTTTCACTGAGAGCGAAGGCTTCCGGATTCGCCGTTAGTTATGCATCCGTGCACGAATAGTACGTCACCAGACCGGAAAACCTGCTGGTTCCGTGCGGATCGTTTCATCCCTGTCATTGTTGTTGCTCTGGCCTTTTGTTCGCTCAAATTTGGCTTACTACAGATGTTCACTCTAACTGCAGTCCTTCCTACTCCCCCCACCCCTCAAAAATTTTCCCTACAAGAAAAACCCTCCTTTTAGCTGAACCTCCTATACACCTCCCTCGACATACTCCGCGAATATAACAGAATCCAGTGCGAGAATCTTATAGCGATTTTGGATGGGGACTGTTTGTTAGAGGATGTTGCGGGACATGGATGGGAGATGGTTATCCGGGAAGTGTAGTCGTATGTTGTGAGAGGCTTGTAAAAAGGGAATATTCAATACTGAAAGTAAAGTGAAGCAGACGGCATGGCGCAAATTTATCCAAATTTTCACGACTGGACGGTGGGTTGGCATAATTGTTTAAAGACAGGAGGATAGGATGTCCGGCCCTGTTTGTGCTGCTGAAACCAGATATCAATGCGAAGGAGGGATCTCTGAATTGACGGGTATCTAAAGTAAGTAGGTCGTAGTTACATGAAATAAATACAAGCCAGAAAGCAAAATGAAACATCATCAACGCATGACGACGAAATAAACCCAGACCTCAGCCAAAAGTTTCTGTACGAAAACGTAGTATCACTGTGATTAAAACGGGATAAACAATCTTCCTTGTGAGAAAACTCGTATCAAAATATATGCACATAAATTGACGTTTTCTTTATCTGTTTATACATCCTCCACTGCACCAAGGGCCTGACCGTATTTTACATACTGGCCCTTCTCAATACTCCATTTCCAGCCGCCCTCGCGATGCTCTCCCATCCACCCCAAGTCAAAACTAGGTCTGTCGCCCAACGGAGCCTCGAAAACCAACACAATCGAGCTCCCAAGCTGGAACCCGCCCATCTCCTCGCCACGCTGCAGCGCGTGACCCGCCAGCGTCTTGCTTGCGTGTCGATACGTGGCCTCGGAGAAGCCTGAATAGATCTCACCGCGCTTTGCGGCGGCTGCGGCGACACGGTCAGCAGCCGTATCGGTAGTCAGACTGTTGGTGCGCAGTTCAGAATCGAAGTTGATCTTAATGGATCCGACATTTGTAGCGCCAACGGGCGTCATGCTGAAGAAGCCCCAGCGCCATCGACCAAGAAGGACAATTCGTTCGTTAAGCGTAAATAGGCCTGGTAGGGTTCGTTGGAGGTATGGAGAGACGGAGAAAAGTTCTCCGGCGAAATGGCGTCGGCTTTCGACAACCCAAGATACTGGGGAGTGAAATCGGTGGTAGTCTCCTGGTGCTAAGTAGATGACAACGTAGAAGAGTGCTCGGTTCGATGTGGGTTTGGGCATATACCAGGCTGTTTGGCCTTTGGCAAGATCGGCCCTAACTTTGGCCTCTGAGCTGGAGCTCGAATGCATTGATGCATCCATCGATTTGTCTCCATCGGGCGCCTTGCCCGTCCCTGACAGTAATGTTGGGAGTGTGTAAGTGATACCATTCATTTTCGCAAAGTTCTCATCTGCGGTCACATTATCGGGATCTTTATTGCTGCTGTGCTCGCTATGGTGTACAGGGCTTTTGGTAGGGTGTACTGCCTCGTGGCTTGGGCTCATCATTTCATGTCCTAGCAGAGCATCTAGGCTGTACGTCATACCCTTGACCTGCTCGACTTCCCCATTTTCAATCATACCGAATTGAAAGATGCGTCCATCGGATGGTGACAGAATGGAAAGGGGGTTTGGATCAAGAGGCCTAACGCCCGGCTTAAGCTCGCGGTAGAAGAAAGAGGCAAGGTTGGGGTAAGCATGGAGATCGGGCTCTGCTATTTCATCTAGATTGACGCCAAAAATCCAAGAGTAAAGCTTGAAGCCTGGAACGCGGAGATAGTAAGGAATGACCAATTCATTGAAACGTCCCCAAAGACGAGACATGGCTTTCAATGGAAGAGTAGACATAACTTGAACCTGCCATGGCCCGCTTGGACGGACTTTTCTTCGCGACGAAACCTCCTGATATCCATCCTTCTCACTGGTCTCTCGTTCTTCTCGTTCCTTCTCTGCATTTTTAGACCTGAAAAATTGAACGAATCCTAAGAATGCGATACCCACCCCGACGGGGATGGGATACCACTCAACCTTTGTATTTCGCAGAGCAGTCCGCAACCTCGAATGGAACGACTCTTTTCCATTGCCATTTTGCTGCCACCTTCTGGATGACGACGAAAACAGCCTTCGAGGTAAAGTAATCCTCCTGCTATGTTTGCATGGGGTGATCTCAGCTGCAACGACATCCCAGGCTCTCAGAAACTGGGCAGGATTCCGATAGACAAACGCCCGTCCAACAGGCATGGTTGGCGTCTGTTACTGTTAGGTATACCAAAGGTGGCCCAGATATCACCATGTCATGGCCCTGGACAGCGCAATCATGACCACAAATTAATTGACTCTCAAGCGATGAACGCACAGTGCATGAGCATCTGTTGACATGCATCAACACAAGTTTAAGGAACTATTGAGGTGTGTTTTAGTTTTAGTCTTTAGAAATACAAGCCGTGGGCTTATGTTAGTCCGAAGGCCGAGTTGTGTCTGCTGAGTCAGCTACTCTACTTGATTCTTATTTTAGAAATTCAACTTCATTCAAGCTGGCATCTTGATCATGGGCAGAGAGGAATAAACAACAGACAGATGGAGGGATGAGTCGCATTTCTATCGCAAATACCTTCTTTGGCCCCTCTCTGTCATTCATCTGCACCATGAGCCATTTTGCAGCCGTAAATTGTTGACTTGTTTATCTACCACTATCTCCCCCTCATACATTCATCCCATGCCACCTGTTGTACAATCAACACTATGAGCTGGCTTTCATCCCGTCTGTGAATTTACTGAGGCAAGCATTTTCTGTACAGATAGCCTTTTGGATGTGCATGCTATTAAATAACTCGGGATATCCTCATCTCAACCCTCATATCCTGATTGCAACCCTACGTCATTGTCTGTATATCCGCAAGTATTCCGACACCCGAATACGTGAACCTGGCATCTAGTGATACCATAGGGTTCTTAGGGGCGCTGAAACACAAGATGACTACCGATATCCGGCACGGTGATATGGGGACTTCAACTGAGTTAAGCGCCACCAGCTCTGATTTGCAAACCGTCGTCCTCCATATACTGTCTCCATCACTAGAAGCCCCAAATCGTGTGACACTGAATGACCTGCCTCTTACAATCAAAATCTTCGATCTGAAAACTCGACTGTCTGAAATGCTACCCAACCGTCCTCGTCCTGATATACAGAGACTCATATATCGGGGGAAACCTCTGGCGGACAATGAAGAGCAGCTGAGCAATATAGTGGAGCCAGCAGATGTATGTTTAATAAACGTTTTATATACCTGGAGTTCGTATACTCATACATGATATTTTGTTGGTAATTAGGGCCGAGTACATACAATGCATCTTGTTCTTCCTCCTAGTTGTGCCAAAATTCCCATCCCTCCTCCACCAAACCTCTTCCAAGATCTCAACACCTCCCCACATGACTCTTCTGGCTTGCGTGCTCGAACAAACAATATAGAACCAACTACACAAAGGCCCCCCCGCTCACCCCAGTATCATTCTGATGCTTTGGTCAGCCAAGTCACTTCATTGCATCAGCAAGTTATAACACAGCATCAACAGCTGACTGCGCAAATCACACAAAATGCGCGGATAACAGACAATAATCGCCATGGTGATATCGCATTTTCAACAGCAACAAGTACATCAAATATCTCGCTCCAGAATAGGCCTGAGAACTTTTCTTTGTTTGGCTCAAGACCAGGAACACAGGGGATCAATCTGCAGAGTGAGAGGATAGGTTTGATGCCGAACAATGAAGGCCGCAATCCACCAGGTGCCTTGCCACCTATCTATAGGACCACGCAGTACAACATTACGGCGTCTCACCCTCCTCCCATTCAACGTACAGCTAGCTTCCCTCCCAGCGTTAGCAACCGTGTAGGAGATGGTGAGATTGGCATGGGACCCTTGGATGAAAACCGACAACAGAGAATTGCACACCTAGTAGAGTACATCTTCACCATGGAGGGCCAACTCCGCTGGGGCATCCTCCCACCCATTGACGAAATTTCTCGCATACGTGTTCAGCTGTACCAGATTTTGGATGAACAGTATCACCAGCCCCTTTCTCCGAGAGATGGCATGCCCGAAGCGCTTCTAGGTCGGCTTGCATCACTTACCGCTCGAGCAGATCAGATCCGCATTTTGAGAGCCCGATCCCCGTCATCCTCGCCCCAAAATTCCCTTTTTGGCCCGCCACAAACTATACAAGACAACACACAGTCGTCCGTATATTTACTCTCTTCTCCATCTGGCTATCATGCCGTACTTGTGCCCCCAGCTGGTGGCACGGGGCATCTTACCAACCACCCAGCAATGCCAATATTTCATACTCACAGGGCAAGTTCTCACCCACACAGAGTACCGACTCCACACCCGGTACTACATTCCGCAAATAATGCCCCTGCTGTACCGGAGGCAGTTAACCAGGCCTTAAACCAAGCTGTCCTGAGGCGGCAACACCGGCCACGTTTGGGACAGCTAAGTTTCACTCGATTTCTCCGACGTCTCTGGTTCTTTGTTCGTCTATACTTTCTCTGCTATCTCCTTAGCGAAGACGGTACATGGTTTAGGATTATTCTAGTTTCACTCTCCGTCCTCACTACCCTTTTATCGGAAACGGATATACCGCAGCGCCTGCAAAGAGCTATTATAGATCCATTGCAAAGACATCTTGAAAGTTTATTGCCTCTGGATGCTCACCATCCGCGAGAAATAAATGCAGTGCCAAGAGCTGGTAACACAAACGCCCAGCCCGTCCATCCAATACAGGGAAATGGCGTTGACGGAAGTCTTCGGCCCCTTGATGGAACGCAGCAAAATGCAGCCACAGCCAACGGCGAAGCAGTTGGCTTTCTTCATGGACTTAGGAGGGCGGAACGGGCGCTTGCTCTCCTGCTGGCAACTCTTGTCCCAGGTGTTGGGGAACGCCATGTAGCGGCAAGAAACGCTGCAGTGGCTGCGAGGCAAAATGAGTTGGCTGCAAGGCAAGCGGCGGAAAATCAAGCTAGAGAGCAACCGAATGAAGACACAGAAACGCAAAACAACGAAACTGATGATGGCGGTGCGGATGCAGAACCTGAGAGGAGACCTGGTCACACGAACAACCGGGAAGAAAATCCCTTGGAAGCATAAAATTCATGAATACGCATGTACCCGTATTCTGTCAACTCATTAATGTTTCCTGTTCTCCAATTTGTTCTCCCTGCTTGTATGTCTCCATTCTCTTGTTTGTGTTATATCCATATCCCGCATTCCTTTATACCCTTTCCTCGTTTACAAACATTTCATCAATGTTATTCTCTGTAAGGGCTATTCGGTGTTCGTTGGATACCTATTGTTTTGTGTTAATCATGAAAGAAAAAAATGAAAAAGAAAAAAAAAAAAATTAATGCCATGGTAGCGCTTTCATGCCTTTTAAGTCATATCGAAGCTTTTGTTATTGTCCTGATTGTATGCATGTATGATTATATAGGGAAAATAGAGCAGTTGTTTACTTCGAACTCTCTTCGTCACTCAATGCATTCTTGGGCTTCGCTCGCTCTGCTACAGGCGCCCTGTCTCCTTGTCCAAAAATGAGGATATAGCCAAGTGGGCTGTGCAGTACTTAAAGGTGATATCATACCGGTACTGGTAGAGATGATGCATCATCCTGAGTCAGGAGTGAAGAATGCCTACACAACCAGCAGCTGTATTTCAGTATTCCTCACCCCCACTCCGGCCCCTTCCAACGACCATCCAATCCAATAACTTAACCCTCCTAGTGCTCCTAACCTCAGTCTTCGCCTTACCAAAATATCTATCAGCCCCAAAACTACTCCAGCACAGTACTTTCTCAGAATCGCAAGAAAGTGTTCTGTACGTGGGGAAATATATATATTAACCTCCAGAGTGGATTACTTTGCAATCACATCTCGACATCCGCTTACGTATCTTTGCGCCTGGCTCGTCAAATTCCTCACCCAAAATGAATAATTTGGAACGGGGGACGTGCCACCGTTCATAGCGTTTGCGTAATAGGGAGAGTGGAAAGCTGATGATTTTCGAGGGAGATGATTTGCGGATGTTTCCCAGTCGAATGTTGTAACGCCCATTCTCACACCCCCGGACTCAGTCCCTCCTCAGCACGCTGTCGAGTCAGACTGGTGCCTGGTGCAAAATCCTGCCTCGGACTAGTTTCCCGTCTTTCCTCTGGTTACTCTGGTTAAGGAGCCTAAAAGCGTTCGCTAATGAACCCCTTGGCCTGGCAACATAACCACAATCCAGGGACTACCGCCCCTGGCAAGGAAATGCTAGACCATATTTCGTCTAGTTACTAATCTTAACCGACCTCCCCCCCGGGACAAGAATTAAATTTCTATGGTCCAGATCGGGGATTTCTGGTCTTTCATTTCCCCTCTATATATATATATATATATATATATCCGAAATAATCTAAATATCAAAAATAATTCACTCCTTCAAAACCAACTTTATCGTCGCTCTTTACTCTATTTTTCAAATTCCGGATCTGCGCTTTTGCAATCTTCATATTGATTAAACTATCTTTTTTCAACCGTATAAGATGCATATCCACTTGGCTCTCGTATCTGTCTGCCTTTTTGGCCTCAGTTCCGCTCAACAAAGCATCGTAACAAAGTTGACTTTTCCAGGGTCAGTTGATTCACAGAAAATCGAGGCGTCAGTGGTTAAAGCGGTAAGCTGACATAATCTCTTGTTCCCGTTATTAAATGTCGAAGTGAAAAACAAATCGAGAAAACTTTAATCCAAAACTTACTCTTTCTTAGGATTCTTCTGCCACGGTGTATTGGCTCAATTGCCCCAAAAGGCCCGATTCCACTGAATGCGTTTTGCCAGGTGTGAACCTCAAGCAAGGACGAAACGAAGTTGGACTGGACTACTCGGCGCCAGGTCACGAAGGAGGGTAAGAAACCCCATAGTTGGCCGTGCAGAATAAGGGGGAGAGAATGAAAAAAGATGAAAGCTTACACCATCCCACTTAAGCATGGTGAGCTTCCGCTTGGAGTGTCAACTCCAAACCTCCTTAATCGACTGCGCGCGCCTCCAGTTGACTTCCGATGACGGGAAAAGTTGGGCCACCCTGGTATCAACAGATATCGTAATCCCCACTACATTCTTCGCTTCCCTAGACGTCACGATTACGGCTGGTTTGGAGAAGTTGAAGGGCGCGGCGACAGCAACCCCAGTGCCCACTACCAGCGCGGAGAGCCCTACAGGAACTGGAGCTGGTAAAGCTGCTCCGACTGGGACTAGTGCGGCCGCAACCACGAGCGAGAGCGGTGGTAAGGCTGCTCCGAGCAGCAGCCGGGGACATGCTGTTATGCCTCTGGCCACGGCTGCGGCTAGCTGGGGGGTTATCGGTGGTGCTGCTATGGCTGTTGCTGTGCTTGCCATGTAATTGAATGGAGTTGTTTCTGGAAAAGTTGTAAGCTGTAGACTAATACAAATCTATCTGCTACGCCCTATTGTTTAGTTACAGTGTACTGTACATTATATAGAATAGTTTGCTGCTATTCTTTCACTCCACGGCTCTGCTTTGCTTACATTTTATAATAACTAACGCTACAGAGAGTATAATGAGATACAAACATAACCCGGTGGCTACGTATATAATAGAATATTTCAGACTTCAGATCTCGTAGCCCACAACCCTTGTTCAAGAGAATACCCCAAGCTCAGTGAACTATGCCCTAGATGTTCAAGAAATCATCACACGTTCTAAAAGATGTATCTTGAAACCAACCTTCGGGACGATTTTCACGAACAAGAATGCTCTAATTTACCATGTCCTTGAGATAAGCATGAGCCGCACTCTGATGAAGGTGGAAAAATATAATATGGATGGAATCTGCACATCAGAAGACCTTCAATGGACAAGTTCCAGTGGACGGCAGCATGCTTCCAAAACCAGAGTTCCGTCGATCCAACCACCTCTGGGGATATGCGCACTCAAATCCCAAAGAATGGACTGAGCACATAGACAATATGGAACAGGCATCCCACCCTAGCAAGCAGTTAATATAGTAACAAAACAACTTAAACACAAGCTAAGCCACCAGCGTCTTAGATTTTGCACTGTGGAAGTATTTTTTCCAAATTAAACATGCCAATATTGATTTCCAGTAAGACTGCCTTCGGTCATTCTAGATATCACAGTTATTTAGCGCATTGTGAGCACTTTGACTTGCAAAATCAAAGTGTTGCTCGCGAGCTAATCATAAACCAAAGCTAGAAAATAAAATCTATATTTATCTGATTCGATTGAAAATTCTCTACAAATCAAATGGAATGAAAACAAAACCCCGTTACTGTCTTTCACATCACCACGATGTGGTAACACGGGCGAGTGGTTTTTGGATGATCTAGAACATGGGCATACGGAATCTTGGGCGAGCATGATTAACCTCTACGCAACAGTCATTAGTTCATTTTTTCCACAGCATGGATTCGAGGGCGGGCGACCCTTTGCTCTGCAAGAATAGCCAACACGGTAGGTAGGCCGGGTGGCGCAGCCTGCTCAGCCTTATGCACATGCGTATTACAACACTTTCAAGAGGCCACAGAAGTAACAAACAAAATGTGGGGACAAATTATGGATGATGGTGCAACCCCGCAGCAGACGGGAATGACTTGTAGAACAATGAAGGGGGCTTTGGACTTTGGACATTATTCCGAGGAAATTCGGCGGGCCGCATTGAGATCCCAGCCGTTGGAACTAAAATGACTAAATATAAACTCTGTATGGATGCAGAACATCCTATCCACATCTGGAACCTTTGATCTCTAACTAACTGCTCAGACAGAGAACCTAGCAATGCCGCGACGGGGAGTTGGGGACAACGAACGAAACAGACGGCTGGTCGGGAGTAAGGGTTGCGTGTAGAAAGCTAAAATCTTTTGGTGAACGAAGACCTGTCTTTCCCCTTGTTTGACTAGTCCATATCATGCTTTGTCTCGAAGGTTGGTTGCAGAAGGGGAAGAGGGAGGGGGGGGGGGGGGCGCCTGGTTAATAAATTGTAATTATTATCCTTTAGCTAGCTATCCATTCGGCAGTACAATGGCGGGAGCTCTTCACCAGCTCATGTTGCCATCCGGATACTCCGTAAATAGAGACATAGATCAATCTTTACCCCCAGAACAAGGAGTGTAAGATGAAATTGGAAGTCAATCGGAGTGAGCTTGGAAGATCAAGTAGGAATGGATGTTCCGGCTGGATGTGACTAACCAACGTGCCTGAGGCTTTAAATTTCGAGTTGGGGCTATGGATCGCGGCTCTGTCGTGAGATCCGCCAATCAGAGCAAGCCAACCCCGCCCAAAGCCTCACCCCACCTTGGTCAGCCATTGTTTGTTTACGCTGCGTACGTCACCGAATCTGAATCTGGCGGGAGCAGATAAGACCCGGGGACATCCATCCGGGAAGGAAGTACTGGCTGGAGCCCCAGTGAGTCTGCTGTTGCTCCGCTCACACCCATCGATGACATGCATATTTGCGTGCATGTCTGTCTGGATCTAGCAGCCCAACTATATGGAGTATGCCCAAGGATAAGTAAGTAGTTGTAGTTGTTGGACAAAGACTGAGCAGAGCAAGGCGGTGGTGTATCAAAACGTTATAAATATGATAGACTCCATCGAGACTCACTTCCTCAATCTCATCATCTCAACTATGCAACCCAACTGCAACTTGGAAAATTACTCGGTAGGTAATCTATCAATTCTCCAATCAATCAATCAATCAATAAGAAAAGAAAAGAAAAGAAAAGAAAAGAAAAGAAAAGAAAAGAAAAAAAAAAAAAAAATCACCTACATAGTCAAGCTGTTCGCTTCATTTTGCTCTCAACATCTTGGACCAATCATTTCTGCAAAACATGTTTATTCTCCAAGCAGCCTCTCTTCTCCTGGCAACGGTCACTCTCCACTGTGTCTTTGTCAGCGCACTCCCAACATCAACTGCAGTTTCCCTATCCACAGTACCCAGCCCCTCATCTTGTCAGGGGACCCGAGGTGGCCTGCATAATTGACGGCAAGCAAGCCTGCTGTCCAGAGAATGAAATTCCCCTAGGCCCATTATCCCCGGTCGGTGGAGAGGACGGAGAGGGGGAAGAAGGCAGTGACTCCCAATCAGACGGTGACGGTGATGGTATAACCCAACGGTACGAATCCAAGCCCGAAAGGAAGGTGTGCAAAGCCGGCGAGAAAGGGAAGCTCTACAGGCCCGAGATGCAAACCATGGTCAATGGCCAACTCGTCGCCAATGTCGGGGACAATCTCGTCTTATCCAAGAAGGATTCGTCCAGGCAAGATCAGCAAATGACCTTCCGGCCCTCCGGTGGGGGCTAAGGGCTGCGCCATCAATTGGAGCGTGGCTGCTGCGCGCAGCTTCAGCGTAAAGGGCAATGGTTACACCAAACTCACCCCTGTTGGATCGAAGGAGAGCGTTGGTGCCGCGGATTTCACCAACTGGCCGCAGGTTATTGGCATGCAAAATCACATTGTTGTTCCAAGGCAGGATTGCAAGGAGGAGATGCAATATACAGTTGCTTTGCAGGAGGACGGTGAGGTATTGCTTAGGTAGGCAAAATAAAGATAACGGATTTTACATGGAATATATTTGTTAAAGATGAAATGTTTGCATGATGGGAAAAGAGTGGGATGACGTTAAGGAGTAGAACTGTTTTGCTTTTTTTGTTTGCATCCATCTCGGTTGAGTTCTCAAGGGATCATGGATATTACGCATGTTCTATCAAGAAATAGACTGGATACTTTGCGATTGGATGAATATCATGAGAGACTCTACAAATATCAGGGTGGTTTCCATTACACGTACCTTTGAAGGAGAATAATCATAGGAAATCGATAAGCAAGATAGTGCTGAATAAACAATAAACACTACTACAGATGAAAGACGCATCCTGGAATCGTTAGTCTATATTTCCTCTAGTGTATCCAGATGCGGATCGTATTTGATGCATCGGTGTATTAAATAAACCGGATATAAATAAACATTATCCCTGCCGTAAACAATTCTTCGAATTTGAAACTCGACCGGGTATATGTTGCATACAAGAGAATATGTACGTGTACGTGAACAATATGATATTGGCCGTAGAGTACACACATCGAGAGAAAATCTTCTTTCATAACTTCGCAGGGGAACCTTCAGAATCAGTCAGTACCGCAGCTGGCATTGTGTCGAAGTCTTCCTCTCCGTTAAAATGCCTAGAAACTCGTCAATAAACCCAATCTTTCACCAAACAAAAATAGAAAAAAAAAAAAAAAAAAAAAAAAGGAGGTGGGAAGAATATAGAGCATACCATCCCCTCTCCTCTCCGCCGCTCAAAAACCCACAGTCCCCATTTCCCACGCAAATCCAACCACCCCCAACCCCGATCCCGCCCTGCCACTGCGGCGCCCCCTTTCCGGAAAACAACTCCTCCCCCGACGCCTCTCCACCACCACCGCCAGCCTCCCTCCTCTTCCTCACAAACGTCGACAAACTCGCCGTAAACGGCCTAAAGTCCTCAACGCACGTATCCTCAGGCATATCCCCCGTTAGCGCGCGGCCAATCGCGATCAACGGTGCAGCATGAGTACATATCAAAATGGCACGGCTCTTTTTCTGCTCTGCAGGATTGTCGCGCTCGAACTCGTCGAGCTCAGCATCAACTTGTGCTATTATAGTTTGTAGGGTTGTGGCGATGCGGTCATGGAGTATGGCGATGGTTTCGCCGTTGGGAGACGGGTAGACATGTGGTTCGTATTGGGAGTTGAGGAGGGTGGGGAAGAGGATGCGGAGCGTTTCTGGTGGCGCAGGTGCTGGGTGCGTGAAGAATGACGAGGATCCGAACCATTCGCTGTGCAGGTGGGAAGGAGAAGGAAGTCCATCGTGTCAGACACTTTTTTTTGCGCCGTGCCATTTATTTGTTTGGTTCACTCTTTCCGATGGGACTGAGACTCACCCAAGCCCATTCTCCATCCTCACATCCAAATCTACACAAGCCTTCCTTTCCCGCTCTTGTCGGGCCTTCAGCGCCTCCACTGTTGGCTGGATGGTTTGCAAACATCTGTAGAATGGGCTACTGTAGACTCTACATGGCTTTGGGGAGAATTCATCACTGTTCAGGTGTGCCGCGAGCTCCTGCGATTGCCGCACACCGGGGCCTGTCAGTGTTGGGTCGACGGGTATGCCGGTGGGAGTGGGGTAGACGGAGTGGTAAGTGCCATTGTCAAGGTTTATGGTCCAGTTTAAGCGGTGCTGAAGGAGATAACGGCGTGTTAGTTCAGGGTGGAACGGCTGTCTATTAGGGAGGGGAATACGGGGATGGCTAGGGGAGTAGAACATTACCCCATGTCGGGTCACATATATCCTATCCAGAGGCATTAAACAGGGAAAAGCGAGAAGATTAATAAAGAAAGAGATATCGTTTGCCTTGAAAATTAAAGGACGGAGACAGGAAATAGAATTTTTTTTATCTTTGAAATAGAGGTTTCATTTACCGTTGTCGTTGATTAGGATTCTATCGGCCTCGCAGGATCGGCAAATGTTCAGCGTCACGCAACACCTCGGCTCTAGTATTCCAATTTGCAATCCGAAATACCATGACAAAAGTATATATATACTGTATGAGAAATTCATAGGGTCAGATAGTGCAGATTATTGAAGATAAACTATCTACAGATACAACCCTAATCTGCAAGCTAACGCCATTCCGCTCGTTACAAGTACGGACAGATGTCCATAGAATTAAAGCAGCAGTGACATCACCACTCAGCCCTAAAAGAAATTGGCTCTAGAACCGGAAGGACGTAATTAGTAAATTACAATAAACTTTTATTCGTGTATGGATTGTGATTATTTGTTCTTGATCTAGTAGAAGAATCCGATGACCTTTCCAGCAACATGCTTGCGTCTGGCCTCCTCGTGGTCCATAATACCAGCAGATGTGGTCAGGACAATGTAACCGAACTGACGTGAGGGAAGGAGTTTGACAACCCACTTCTCGAGGTCGCGAAGCTGGACATTGTAGCGTGGAGAGATAACGCCGGTCTTGTTGAGGCTGTTGGAAAGGAACCGAGTTAGCAGAGTGATTAGAATAATATTAGCCTGACAAGGATACATACCGTCCATTGAGCTGGATGACGATTTTGCCAGAGCGGTGGTCATCTACCTCCTCAAACTCTCCAATGTAACCTGGAATAAAAAAAAAAAATTATCAGTATGTGACGATGGATTAAATGTTACCAACCACAGAAAACAATAGACAGGAAACTTGTAAGGCCAACGCCAAAAAAGTTTTAATATATCGGGCATTTAAAGGGCAGACGTCGTAGAGTGGTTTTACAAATCGAGATCGCCGCCTAGTTATCAACCCGAATGTTTGTTTTCGTATATTGCCTCTTGGTGCTTACACCAGCGCAATGCGTTGCGAATAAGTCCCAAACATAAATTCTGACCAAGGAAATGAAGAAAGAAGAGAATAAAACGAGAATAAAACTCACCATGCTTCTGCATGACGGACAGGAACTTGACAATGACCTTGGAGCTAGGTCTGATTAGAACCTGACGTTTGCCAGACTTCTCAGCGTTGTTGATGGCATTCAGCGCATCATTGAGGACACTAGTTTTGACCATATTGGTAGCCTATAGGAAAGGGGGCACACAAGCCTCGTTGGGATGAGATTCTCAGTTCGAAGGAGGCAAGGGAAATGAGGTATCTCTATTTTATAACGGCGGAAAATGAAATGCAGTAACGAAATCATTCCGTCCCTCCCGTGCAGGGAGAAATCGAATAATTCCATCACACAATTCATGACAAACAAGTTAGCTATCAGCAGTCTTTTCGAGCGCAAAGAGTGCCACCCCATCGCAAACCTCGTTTATGAGGTAGGATTGTAGGAGGTTCTTAAGCCCGTGCCGTGGAGGGAAAAACGTATCATCCGGCGACCAGCACTCGAAAATCAACATGTTTGCGAGCGCACAGTCCAGGATGATTGCTTTTCCCAGACTAGTCGAGGGCCATTGAGCAAAAGTAGAAGCGTTTCGGACATATAAGAATCACATACCTCGATGGACAATACTGGCGGCGAGTGCTTGATAAGGGAGTTGATGGCTTGAATCGAGGTGAAGTCGATTTTGAAAATTTGGGTTGGAACCGCCGCTAGTGCGACCAGTTAGGGCTCCTCACTATTTGCCCTAATAACATCACGTGATATAAAAATAGTGAAAAGCGGCATCAATCCGGCAATGTTGTGCAATTTACGACCAAAAGAATTCTCAGAATATATGGAGAGAAATTGAGCTGCCTTTTGGAATAGTCGATACTCTATATCCTGGTTTGGGTCGTAGATATCCCACTCGCTGGGATAAACATATAGTTAATACGTCAATGAAAACAGCAAGTACAGTACGGAGTACAAACCCTACTAAAGAGTTATTTATGCTGGGACATGTGAAGTATCGCCACCGTTCCGAATGAACCTTAAACCACAATTAATTAAACAACCAAATACATAAAAGGATGATATATGTGGAGTATATAACAATAAAAATTCACTTAGATTCAAAAGCCACCCGTTTATTTATTTATTAATTCGAAACGCTGTGTGGTGTGGTAGTAGGAGAAATGATACATGATTTTTTGGGCATACATGATTTCTAGCGCAAGTGTAATAAGTTGAGGGTTGCAAGAAGAAGTTTAAAAGAAATGAAAAAAAGAGGACAAACCAGAGTCTTTAAGTGTACGGCTAGGGTAAGGGGAGAGGGGATATATAGCGTGTGTATTTGTGTGTATACGTTTTTGGGTGCATTGGGGGAAAATGAGGATCAGTGGATACTTCTCAAAACAAGCATCAACTGCTTCTCATCGTGGGGCAAAGTATTGATGACGAGAGATGAAACCCGAGTTTGACTTGGGGTGGGGGATGACATGTGCTTGGGGAGGGATAGGGGACAGAGGGGAAAGGGCTAATAAGGGCAAGGGAATTGTAAAGTTGTTTGAAGGCTTGCTGTGGCGGGGAAAAGTTACACCACTATGTTCATATTCGACGGGAAGAGAGATATGGGGTGGGTTTAAGGGAGAATAACACGTGCAGTGTTTAGGGGTAAGGCTGGGGACCGGAATGCTTTAATCTGGGCAGATACGTAGCTGCGACCAGCTAAGTCGACGGGGAAAGGCTTGAAGAGGGGGTTGGCAGGTTCCTGGATTTTTTTTTTTTTTTTTTTTTTTTTTTTCCCTTTCTTTTTTCTAAAAAAAACCACGATTAACTATCCAATCCATACTGCCGGAGCCAGAACACTGGGAATAATTTGCAATCGTGATGCTTGTCTATTCTTCATTCAT